CCATTTCCATCGCCGGTCGCGTGTCCTCTGAGATGAACACAGAGTTGGGAACAGTTGTCGGGTATTCGGTTCGCTTCGAAGACATGACTTCATCGCAAACTAAGATCAAGTACTTGACTGACGGAACGCTTCTTCGCGAAGCCATTAGTGATCCACTTCTTCACAAATACAAAGTCATTATCTTAGATGAAGCCCACGAACGCACTGTTCAAACGGATCTACTCTTAGGTGTGATTAAAAAAGCGCAACGACTCCGAAACCAACAGCACATTCCTGTTCTCAAAGTGATCATAATGTCTGCGACCATCGATTGCGACCATTTCTCTCAATACTTTAATAAAGCGCCCGTTTATTACATAAGAGGCCGACAGCACGACATTCAGGTCTTTAACACTTTTTGGTTGATATTTTTGAGACATTATATCATCTAAAATTCAATCAACAGATGATGTATTCAAAGGAAAAGCAAAGCGATTATATGAACGCCGCTCTCATTACTGTCTTTCAAATATACCAAAACCAAGACGAGGGGTATTCAAGTCAACGATTGTCTTGTATTTAGAATTTATTTTATTTGTATTTCAGAGATATTTTGGTATTTAGTACCGGAGAGGAAGAAATTGAGTCAATGATTCGTTCTGTCAATGAAACGATTCCTCTTTTGCCATTAGGTATTACTTTAATGATTATATTTATTTATTCATAAAATATTGATTTATTCTTCACTACATTTGGACAGAATCTCAGAAATTGAAAGCCCTTCCACTCTATGCAGCCCTTCCTCTATCTCATCAGCAAAGAGTCTTCAAAACACTCGAAGTATTTATTGAAACACTTGCAAAATGAACGAGTAATGAGTTATCGATTAATTAATGTTTATGTTATGCTATTTCCGCTAAAGAATGGCTTTCGAAAAGTTATTTTTGCCACAAATATTGCCGAGACTTCGATCACTATTCCTAATATTAAATATGTGGTCGACTCCGGGAAAGTCAAGTCCCGATCGTATAACTCTGTCACCGGATTTGAGACATTAAAAGTTCAATCAATATCTAAAGCACAGGCGGCACAGAGAGCGGGCAGAGCCGGCAGGGAAATGAGGTTTGATTGCTCGGCTATATATTGGTATATCATATATTGATTGTATTGATTATCCCTTAAAGTGGTATTTGTTATCGACTTTACACTAAAGAGGAATACAACGAATTTAGAGATCACGCCATTCCAGAGATCCAAAGATGTAATTTAGCCAATGTTTTGCTCCATATTATCGCCATTGGAATCAATGATGTTTTGAATTTTGATTTTATGGATAAACCATCGGAAGATGTATTGCAGTATAATTTTGATTAATTAATCAATCATTCATTTAAACTTCATTTCTATCGCACAGAACATAAACAGTGCTTTAAAACAATTGGTTCACTTCGGGGCCATTGAAGCCAAACAAGAACTTTATTATGTTTGTATTGTTAAAGCATTGCATTAAATGGTTATTATTTATGAGATCTCATTAATAGCTAACAGACGTCGGAACACTTATGGTCATATTCCCAGTGGAACCCAAATTCTCCAAAATGATAGTCACATCTAAGTCGATGGGTTGCACGTAAGTCTCTGCAAACATTTACCATATGTTATGTTTAATTATTTATTTTATTTCAGCGAAGAAATTATAACCATTTTATCGCTTTTATCCGTCGATAATATTTATTACATTCCTTCCAATCAAGTAATTATTTGATATACTTTTAAATTTTGTAATTTTGCGCTCATTTCTTATAAATCTAAACTTATTTTTGTGTGACTTATAGAAAGATATGGCAAATGAAGTCCACAAGAAGTTTATCTCAAGTGAAGGCGATTTAATAAAACTTTTAAAAGTTTATAGAAATTTTAAAACAGCGAAAGAAAACAAAGTATATGTCAATTATATTTTGAAATTTATAAAGTTATTAATAGTGAAATGTATTTGTCTCTAGAAATGGTGTAAAGAAAACTTCATTCATATAAATAACTTGAAATTAGCGACTGATATAAAGAAGCAATTGTCTGATCTCTGTTTGAAAGCAAGCATTCCATTGGTTTCCTCTAATAATAATACAGAAGTGATACGAAAATGTCTGTCCACTGGACTCGTATTCAATACCGCATATCTCCAAAAAGATGGCACTTATAAAACTGTATGCATTCAATGAGTTTAACAAATATTTGATCCCATAATTAACGCAAAATGATAACATTTCAGAGACTCACTAAACAAGAGGTTTATATCCACCCGTCTTCGTGTCTGTTCGGTACGAAACCTGAAAATATAATATTCAATGAATTGGTCCAAACATCCAAATGCTATATGAGGTTTGAAAAGCAGTCAACATTATTACAGACTTTGAATTAACGTTAATTTTTATTAATTGCAGAAACATAACTATTATTGACAAAGATTGGCTTTCTTGATGATTATGTATTCATTAATATTTCAATTAAAAGAGATATGAATTTTTAAAAATTGTTTAAAATTATATTTAATTTTAAATTACGGTATAAATGATAAAATAGTTTGGATTAATTCAAGTGTTGAAATTTGTGGCAATTGTTTGCTTCGATAAGTGAATGATAAATGATTGTTCAGTCATCCAAACCATCGACTTTAATGTATTTGGAATACAGGGACTCGTGATCTTTCTGGTCATGTCTTCGGTCATCATTCGAGTCGTCGTTTCCCATAATCTTCTTTATTTTCTTGATTTTCTTCACTTCTGTTTTGCTGCGAATATAAGCATTGATTTCCGTATCGGAGAACTCTTCGTCCTTCTGTTGGTCAGCACTCGCTGCCATCGCTTCGGGAGCCGTTGGAGCGGGTTTTCTCCTGCGCTTCAATGTGTTGGTCCAGTGAGTGGACGGTTCGCTCGAAGTGGCGGTTGTCTTGAAGTGATTGTTGAGATCAAACAACAGCGACGAGTTGTACGTCAAGATATCGTTGATATAAATGGCGATATTTTGTTTCGTGAATTTGAAGGCCTCTTTGCCGGGAATCCGTTGGCCCAACCGTTTGAGGACATCGAAGATTTCGCCCACCCTTTCGACAGTCGTGTGTTTGTATTCAATTGAATGCAAACGACAGAACTCTGTTAACTTCACTTTCGACCGAATCCATGGCTTCAATGACTTCCACGACAGATATGTTGTGCCGTAAATGATGTGAACCGGAGATCGGCCTAAAAGTGTGGATCAAATGATTAGCCGGTTTCGCGTTAAAGACAATACCATTTGATTAGTAAGACCTTCGATGAGCCAACAGTCGCGGACGACACGCAACAGTTCGATCACCCGTTGGATCAGTTCGGGTCTCTCGTCGTCGTCGAAGTGGCAGCCATTAAGCGTGGGTTCGACCAACTCTTCAATACTGATGGA